TCCAAGTGTCACATTTGACTTTTCAAAACATATAAAATTCATAATTAAGAAGAAATTTAAGGTTTTGTATCAAAATAAAACAGCATAAACCTCTTTAATTAGATAATCATTTAACCTACATTTTACATAAAATCTTAATAGTTTACATAAATACCAAAATGTAAGAGTTTACAAAATTGATCAGATCATTTGCAAATTAAACGATTAATACTTGCCAACAATTGTAATATTATAAAACACCTACATTTAATTTGTTCTGATCTGATCTTCAAAAGTGTATCTTATCCACGCTTACTTCACTCTTCTACTTTCTTCAAACCTACGCGTGAGAAAAATCATTAGCTAAGTCGATGACTTAGTGAGGCAAAACTAATAGTGCTAACTTATTAATAGAAATCTTATTTGTTTTATTCAAAATGTTTTACAAAGAACTTTCTTTATTTTCGTATCAAAGGTATACTTATGAATAGTTACACTTTGTATGTCTTTGTTCCAAGTGCCTAAGGTATACTACTGAAAACTCTGGGTATTTGAGTACTATGAGGTTGTGCACTAATGTTGTCACCAAAGTTTGTAATTTGCATTGAAGTGCCACATAATTGTCCCGAATGACCATATAGGTTTGCACCGAAGAGCCACATAGGTTTATACTGAAGTGCCACATATTTGTCCCGAATGACCACATAATTATCCCGAAGGACCACATAAAACCCTCGAATCTTGGCATGCCAACTATACCTCTAATCCTCATACATATACTTTGGGCTATTAATCACACAATATTGTTCAATCATTATTCAAAGTGTTTCTTATTCACATAGTTTATCTCTCATAGAGTCAGTTCACATTCACTAATTCAAAGTTCACATTTTCATATTCATATGATTATAAAACATAACTAGTATAATGTAAATGGAATAAAACAATGAAATATAACAGAAAATAAATATAAAGTTTTCGATCGAAAACATGGAAGTTGGCTTATCGCAAACCTTCCTCAATTCTATTACAAAACCGAGAAGTTGCACCCACCTTTGCCTCACAGCAGTTCTAATCCAAATCTTTAACACCTTTCGATTTGATACATAATATGTCGAGCTAACAGGAATTCAATTACGTTCAATCACTACACAAAACAATCGAAAATCAATATCGTTCTTCAACTCAATTATATTGAATCATAATAACTTGGGATGCAAGAGACTCTACATTTCCATTTCATGTTTAGAAGTATCGGTACTACCCTAACAGTACCGATACTTCCCTTCAAGGGTATTGATACCTTCTCATGGTACCGATACCGATATAGAATTCGATGTTTAAAGGTACCGATACCTCCTCAAGGTATCGATACCAAACTGTCATTCGATGTTTTAAGGGTATCAATAACATCCTTTAGGTATCGATACTACCCTTATAGTATCGATACTACCCTTATAGTATCGATACCTAATCAACAATTATCGATACAACCCTTAATAATTTCACATATTTTACCCATTAAGTATCGATATTGTTCTAACGGTACCGATACTCGAAGCCCAGAATTGCCATTTTCACCTTGAAAATCACCCAAAATCCTCCCAAATCTCTCATATACACATACCTTAAGCCTTTGAACTCACCTTGATACTTCCAAACCAACTTGTACCCATTTACTACATCCAAACATTCCAAATTCTTGCTAAAACACTTACATCTAAAAATCATATCATGTTTTCAACCGAGCTCTTAATCAATTCTAATACTCCTGACCCTTTAATTAACCCATTGACAAGTCAAACATCTCATTAAAACTTCAAAAACTTCTTTATATCAAAATTTCATTTTTGAAACCCATTTTACAAAATCTGTTGGGATTTGAGGACGCTCGAATCGACAATAGAAAATATTCGCCAAGAGGGGTTGGATCTGTTTTTGTGTTTAGGGAGTAAAGAGATTTAACGATAGAAAATTATACAATAATTTATAGTGGTTCAACTTCTTAACCAAGTCTACATCCACTACCTTAGCTTCTCACCAAGGATTTTCCAACAAATTCACTAATTTGTTCTTTCTTTTTACGGGATAAACTAGAACCCTTCCCCAAGCTATTCACAGGCTAAGCTAGAACCAAAACACCTTTACAATGAAAGGAAAATGTAAACAAGAAAACCTCTCTATGGTGGGTGTTTACAAGATTGAGCTCACAAGAACAAAATATTTACAAGAGAAAGATAGAATAAGATTGAAAAGCTCTTCTCTTGTGTTTGATTGCTTGGATAGTTGTTCTTTTACTTCTTCAAGTGTCCTCAGCTTGTATTTATAGCTTGGAGTGAGTTTGAAGTCGTATATAGCTGTTGGGAATATTTTGGAGCAGTTGGGAATATTTTAGAGCCGTTTGGGGATTATTTTTCTACAAAAATAGATTGCCCAAAATAGAGTGTATCAGTACACTATCAAGGTGTATCGATACCCCTTCATTAAATTCAAATTTTATGACCGTTGGGCTGTGTGAACAGTGAGTGTATCAGTACACTGTAGTAGTGTATCGGTACATCTTTTACATTTGATGTTTTTTAGCATCGGTACTATTCATTACTGTTCATCAAAACATTTTTGTGCTCAATTTCAAATTAAATAGACTTTGAATTATTTTTGAAACCTTTTTAAAACTTTGAATAAATTCAATTCAAGTCCAAAAACTTTTTGCCTTTAAATTTGTTATATCGAAACATAATTCAATAAAATCCTTTCAATTTCACTCATCTTGTTGATTTAATCCTATATAACCTTTACTTAAGATTATATAACACCCCTACTTCCACTACCAAACCAAAAATTAAAGGAAACAAAAAAAAATAGATTCTTACCTTGTGAATGGAGCTCACGTAGAAGAAGAAAAGATTAGAAAAATGGTTTCAACTTCACTTTTCTTTCATCTTAAAACCCACGTGTATATCTCCCTTAAAACGAAGATAAAATCCCTCTTTGAAAAGACCATATTGCCCTCTTCACTAAACCAAAATTTCCATTACGCCGTACACATAAATTCCACTATAAATCCTTGAGTTAACTGATTTATTCTAATTCAAACAGAGTTTAGAATTCTTACAATTTGACTACTGGCCCGATGATTGGGATATTATAAATCTCCCTTTTAAGAAAATTCGTCCCCAAATTTTCATTGCACAAAAAGATAGGGATACTGCTTTCTCATATCCTCTTCACGCTCCCATGTAGCTTCTTATACTTTATGGTTTCTCCACAAAACCTTAACTAGTGGAATCGTTTTATTCCGCAACTGCTTGCTTTAAAAAGCTAAAATCTGAATCGGCTCTTCCTTATATGTCAAATCAGATTGAACTTCAATTTTATCTGGAGTTATGATGTGTGCAATATCAGATCGATACCTCCGAAACATAGACACATGGAAGACATTGTGGATCTTTTCCATCTCTGGTGGCAACGCTAACTGATATGCCACCGGTCTAACTTTCTTCAAAACTTCATAAGGTCCAATGAACCTAGGACTCAGTTTTCCTTTATGTCTAACGCCAAGCACTTTCTTCCAATGTGATACTTTCAAAAACACCTTATCACCTACTTGAAATTCAATTTCTTTTCTTTTTAAATCGACGAATGACTTTTGTCTGTCCGAGGTAACTTTCAAATTGTTTTGAATTACTTGAACCTTTTCTTCTACTTCTTTATTCAATTTAGACACTTATCATCTATCTGTTGCAACTCCTTAATTCGCTCTAACAATAATGGCTTCAATATTAACTCAACCATCAATGCACCATTTTTCTTTAGCACCATTCGAGCGTCCAAACTGCGCAAAGCGGTAAAAGTCTTTCAACTAAGAGCATCTGCTACAACGTTGGCTTTCCCGGTATAGTAGCTAATGATTGCATTATAATATTTCAACAAATCCATCCACATTCTTTTCCTCAAATTTAACTCCTTTTGCGTCAACAAATACATCAAACTCTTATGATCGGTGAATATGTAGCAACGCTCACCATACAAATAGTGCCTCCAAATTTTCAATGCAAAATTCATAGCTGCTAACTCCAGATCATAAGTTAGATAATTATTTTCATGAGGCTTAAGTTGTCTTGAAGCATAAGCAATTACTTTTCCATCTTGCATTAAGAGACATCCCAATCCATTATGGGAAGCGTTGCTAAAAATCGTGAAATCCTTGTTTGATTCTGGTTGTACCAACACCGGAGCTACAGTCAAAACTTTCTTCAATATTTCAAAGCTCTTCTCGCAATCAGGAGTCCATTCAAAATGTACATCCTTTCTTAACAATTTGGTTAAAGGCAGAGATATCATCGAAAAGTTTTTGACAAAGCTCCGATAACAACCTGTGAGATCCAAGAAACTTCGAACTTCTGACACATTCTTCGGAATCTCCCATTCTAATACAGCTTTAACTTTCTGAGGATCTACCTGAATTCCCTCAGTATAAACCAGATATCCCAAAAATGTCACTTCACACAACCAAAACTCAAATTTTGAGAACTTTCTGAAAAGTTTATTGTCTCGCAACGTTTGAAGAACCACACGAAGATGGACATCATGCTCATCATTCAAATTTGAATATGCTAAGATGTCATCAATAAAGACAACCACAAATTGATCAAGTTACAGTTGAAAACTTCTATTAATCAATTCCATAAACACTGCAGCTGCATTAGTCCTGAATGGCATTACAACAAACTCATAATGACCATACCGAGTCCTAAACGTCGATTTAGGAACATATTTTTCTTGAATTTTCACCTGATGATACCCTAAACGTAAATCAATCTTTGAAAACACCGCAGCTCCCTTTAATTGATCAAATAAATCATCTATCCTTGGAAGAGGATACTTGTACTTTATGGTCAATTTGTTAAGCTGACGATAATCTATACAGAGGCGCATCGAACCATCTTTCTTCTTTACCAATAATACTGGAGACCCCAAGACGACACACTAGGTCTAATAAACCCTTTATCTAAAAGCTCCTACAACCGAGTCTTTAACTCTTTCAACTCTTTTAGAGCCATCCTATAAGGAGCCATTGAAATTGGTGCTGATTCTGACATTACTTCAATCTGGAACTCAACCTCTCTATCTGGACGTAACCCCGGTAAATCATCCGAAAATACTTCTAGAAACTCTCCAACAGTCGGAATATCTTCCAGTTTCCTTTCTTTAACTCTTGTATCGATTACATTAGAAATGTAAGCTTGACATCCTTGCAGCATTAGCTTCCAAGCCGACATCAACGATATCACATTAGCTAAAGGATGGATTCTTTCGTTGACCACACTAATTTCCAATCCCTCAAGACTGGTTAACTGAACTCGCTTAAGTAGGCAATCCATGTTGGCATAATAATGATAAATCCAATCCATCCCAAGAATAACCTCAAATTCATCAAAGGGTAATTCCATTAGATTAACATGGAATTCAATTCTCTGAATCCCTATGAGACACAGTCGACAGACTTATTTCACCCGAGTACTATTTCTTAATGGATTCATCACAATCATCTCACTATGAATAGGCTCTAACGAAAGGTTTAAATCTTTAACCAATATACTACTGACATAAGAATAATTCGATCCTGGATTAATCAAAACTAAAACAGATTTATCAGCTATCTAAAAAGTACCTGTAATGATTTCAAGGTCATCACAATCTTCACTGGTCTTCAAATTATACATCCGAGCGGTAGAGCGTACTTCAGTTTGAGCAGTCGACTCAGATTGAATCTTTCCTCTTCCCCGACCTCTAGCTCTCATCGGTGCAGTCGTGGATCTCTCTGTTTATACAAGCTCTCCCGTCATCATAGGACAGTCTTGAATAAAATGTCCTACCTTTCCACACTTAAAACAAGCTCCAGAGACCCTTATGAAAACTCCACTATGGTTTTTCCCATAGTGCTGACATTGTTTTGGCTTGTCTACTCCGGATTCCACCGAATAAATTTGTTTTTCCCTTCCCAGATTTGATCATTTACCTAAGGATGTTGCAGATTCTGCTCTAGTCTGAGGTCGAGAACTTGAACCTTTACTCTTCTTTGATTGAAATGAACCAGATGATGCACCAGATCTCTTATTCCATTACGTCCTTTGATCCACAAATCTTTCATTCTGAGCTCGCTCCAAAGCTTTAGCTCAATTCACTACCTCTTGAAAAGAATAGAGGTTAAGTGTCAATAGTAATTCTTTCAGTTGGGGTCGTAAACCCTCCAGAACCCAGTTACAGGAATCATTCTCTATAGGAACCATCTCGAAAACAAATCGACTCAATTTGTTGAATTCGCACTCAAACTAATACGTCGTACAATTCCCTTGCTTTACAATCATAAATTCATATTTCATCTGCTGGATAAACTGATCCCCTATATATTTGTTCTTAAACTCCTCCAGAAATAAAGGCTAAATCACCTAATCTCTTGAGGCTCTCATCATAACATTAGACCACCAAATTCTGGCTTGGCCTCTTAATAACGAAACTACACCATCCAATTTCTCCATTTTAGAACAATGGAGATTCTCTAACATCACCTTCAAATCATTAAGCCATATATCGATGGTAACCAGACCTTCCTAAGCTTCTCCCCTAAATTCAAGAGCTCCTAGACTTCGTAACTCTTTAGGGACATTAATCTTAGAGGATGAGGAGGCAGACGATTGAAAATGCGTCAGGATCGCGTCTAACGTCTGAAAGAAGTTCCCCTGATCTTGCAAAGGCACTCCAGGCTGTGACTACTCCTCACCCTGCTTGCTTGGGGCAGGTGAGTTACTACTCTCCTCTATCCTATCTCCCACATCACTTTGGGAGCCTTCAAAGCTAGACATCTAATAAGATCCATTTACTAAAGGTATTAGCAAGGATAGCATATTGATCCCTTATCATATCAGAAAGACTTTTATTGAAAATTGGTATGTATATTTTTAAAACCAAAAATGACTTTATTTCAAACTTAAAACCACTTAAACCTTAGCTCTGATACCATTAAATGTAACACTTCTGACCCGTATCTGACCCGGATACGAATCCTAAGTGTTACATTTGACTTTTCAAAACATATAAAATTCATAATTAAGAACAAATTTAAGGTTTTATATCAAAACAAAACATCATAAACCTCTTTAATAAGATAATTATTTAACCTACATTTTACATAAAATCTTAATAATATATATAAATACCAAAATGTAAGAGTTTACAAAATCGATCAGAGCATTTGCAAATTAAACGATTAATACATGCCAACAATTGTAATATTACAAAACACCTACATTTAATTTGTTCTGATCTAATATTTAAAAGTGCATCCTATCCACGCTAACTTCACTCTTTTGTTTTCTTCAAACCTACATGTGAGAAATATCACACGCTAAGTCGATGACTTAGTGAGGCAAAACTAATAGTGCTAACTTATTAATAGAAATCTTATTTATTTTATTCAAAATGTTTTACAAAGAACTTTCTTTATTTTCATATCAAAGGTATACTTACGAATAGTTACATTTTTATGTCTTTGTTCCAAGTGCCCAAGGTATACTACTGAGAACTCTAGATATTTGAGTACTATGAGGTTGTGCACTAATGCTGTCACCACAACTCGTAATTTGCACAGAAGTGCCACATAGGTTTGTACCAAAGTGCCACAAATTTGTCCCGAAGGACCACATAATTTTCCCAAAAGACCACATAAAACCCTCGACTCTTGGCATGCCAACTATACCTCTAATCGTCATACATATACTTTGGGCTATTAATCACATAATACTATTCAATCATTATTCAAAGTGTTTCTTATTCACATTTCTCTCTCATAGAGTCTATTCACATTCACTGATTCAAAACATTGCCATATTCATATGATCATAAAACATGACTAGTATAATGTAAATGGAATAAAACATTGAAATATAATAGAAAATAAATATAAAGTTTTCGATCGAAAACACGAAGGTTGGCTTATTGCAAGTCTTCCTCAATTCTGTTACAAAATTGAGAAGTCGTAATCACCTTTGCCTCACAGCAGTTCTAATTCAAATCTTTAACACCTTTCGATTTGATATTTAATATGTCGAGCTGACCGGAATTTGATTATGTTCAATCACTACACAAAACAATCAAAAATCAATATCGTTCTTCAACTCAATTATATTGAATCAGAATAACTTGGGATGCAAGAGACTCTACTTTTCCATTTCATGTTTAGAAGTATCGGTACTACCCTAACATTATCTATAATTCCCTGGAAGGGTATTGATATCTCCTCATGGTACCAATACTGATATAGTATTCGATGTTTCAAGGGTATCAATATCTCCTTAAGGTACCGATACCAAACTGGCATTCGATGTTTTAAGGGTATCGATACCATCTTTCAGGTATCGATACTACCCTTATAGTATCGATACCTATTCAACAGGTATCGATACTACCCTTAATAATTTCATTGATTTTGCCCTTGAAGTATCGGTAATGTTCTAGTTGTACCGATACTCGAAGCCCATAATTATCATTTTCACCCCAAAAATCACCCAAAAATCCTCCCAAATCTCTCATATATACCAAACTTAAGCCTTTGAACTCACCTTGATACTTCCAAACCAACTTGTACCCATTTACTACTCCCAAACATACCAAATTCTTGCTAAAACACTTGCATCTAAAAATCATACCATGTTTGCAATCAAGTTGTTAATCAATTCTAATACTCCTAACCGTTTAATTAACCCATTGACAAGTCAAATATCTCATTAAAACTTCAAAAACTTCTTCATATCAAAATTTCATTTCAAACCCCATTTTACAAAATCCTTTCAATTTCACTCATCTTGTTGATTTAATCCTATATAAACTTTACTTAAGCTTATATAACAACCCTACTTTACTACCAAACCAAAAATTAAAGAAAACAACAAAAATTCAGATTCTTACCTTGTGGATAGAGCTCACGTAGAAGAAGAAAAGATGAGAAAAATGGTTCCAACTTCACTTTTCTTTCATCTTAAAGCCCATGTGTACATCTCCCTTAAAAAGGAAGATAAAATTCCTCTTAGAAAAGACCATATTGTCCTCTTCACTAAACCAAAATTTCTATTAAGCCGTACACATAAATTCCATTATAAATCCTTGAGTTAACTGATTTATTCTAATTCAAACACTGAGTTTAGAATTCTTACAATTTGACTATTGACCCGATGATTGAGATGTTACACTATCTCTTCAAAGAATTTTTTGCCCAAATGATTACAAGTTACCACAACAACAAGGAGAGAAAATAGATTTCATTCCAGTACCATTCAGCTTCATGCAGAGAGCACTGTGAAGGATAGAAGACTACTGTAAAGGTCTTACAATTCAGATGTGAAAGACAAAAAATGTCAGGGTAAAATATTTTAAATGTGGAACTGTTATATGTGTGGGGCATTTTGGTCTATATTGGTGCTCCGATCGAACGTGACAAAACTGCCATAACAATTTAAGATGTTTCAAAAAGAACAAACTCCTTAACATGTGGAAAATGGTAAAGCTCCTACAATAGATGCACCCACTCAGAAAGAAGACGCAATTGGCGTAGGCACAAATGATAACATTGTTGATGATGTCCACCCATCTGCATAAATTCTACGGCAAATTGTAATACTTCTAGCCAAGCAGACCCAGGACCAAGTGGAAAATCTGACTAGCAACCTGATGACCTTCTTTGCCTATATCAAACAACGGGATGAGGATGTCGCAACAACCTTCATGGAGCTCATTCCACATATAGTCATTGATCTTCCAGTCTTCCCTGATGCACTTTTACGAACATCTGCGAATGCCACGACATCAGCGGATGCTCAACAACCAAATAATGAGGATGAGTTGGAAGATTCTAACCCTATCCACACCATGCCTACAATCGAGCGATAAGAGACTAAGCCTCAACTACTAACCCTGACAGTACCATCGAAGCCCCCGAAGCCACACGATGTAGCACAATCTAAATTACTGCAGCAATTCCTTTTGCACAGGCATCAACTCCATTTGAAGAAAGTGTCTGAACCTGAGAAGCCTCAATTCACCCCAATCCCTTAAGGCCTTAGGACCACCTACTGCACCAGCAATAGATTATGAACATTTCATCCCCACAACATTGCGCAAGCGCCCACGTCGTACAGATTCACGACAACCATAACACCACCACCATAAATAGTCAAGGTACCTTGCATTGCATTGCATTTCATAACATGTAGTTTATTTGCTACTTAGTTTTTATTTAGCATTGAGGACAATGTTTCTTTCAAGTTTGGGGGAGGTAGGGTTCCCAAGTCATTGCTTGATAGTACTAGTAGAATGAATATGCCATGACATTAGTAAGCGTTCGAAGTTAGTTCCTGGAATAAATTAATGATGCCCAATGATGATGAACTCTTTATTGCTAGAATTGAATGTACATGACTATTGAGGATGATATAACCAACTCTAGGACTTGCTTCTTTGAAACCTTTGGATACACGATTGTATGTTTTCCATGCTTAAGGAACTTAGAAATTTTTTATAAGAGAATTATTGCATGTCTTGGCATAAAACTTTGATAGTCATTGAATCATGAAAACCCCACATGTTAAAAAAATGAATGAAAAAATAAAAATGATAAAAAACATTATGAATAAATGCTTCGGCATATATGTAGACTCCGCTATGCCACAACATTGCATGGATTCTGCATTTAAATAAATGGCAGCCATGACATATGAGTGAATGAAAGTAGTCACGGGATGACTCTACC